GAAAATTAACTCTATCCCAGCCAAAACCAGGACAAGGGCAAATGATATTGCCAGATCCCACAGTGCTAGATCAAGACTTCCCAGCCTGAGAATTTACCTGGGGATTTATCTGAGAAAGGAAACGTGATCTTCAGTGGATTTCATCTGGTCCCAAGAACAGAGGGTGAAGACGCAAAGCAGGAATAGCTGAAAGTGATGCTGGGAAGAAGGGTTTTGATACACCAAATACGGGAAGAACTTCTAGTCTGTGTACAAGGCACTTGCAAGAAGATGGGTGAACGAAGGAGCTCAATTATCTTCTGAAAGCCATCATAGACCGTCAGTGACCACTTCATGGTGTCCAGGCTGCTGTTGCATTGTGCCAGCGTATCTGTTCCTGTACCACTGCCGGGACTTGCTTTGTTCCTGCTGCCTCTGGGAGTTGCGGCTGGATGTGCCACTCCTGCTTAGTTGCCTTAGTGAGACTGGCACAAGAGTTAAGAGTAACCTGGGTGGCTTTGCTTTTGTTGGACAGGTTAGTTTGAACAGGGATTTGTTCCCTCATCCAGGTTATTGCATCTTCTCCCTTGACCTCAGGAGTTGTATCTGCTTCTCTGAGGGGATGGACAGGGTAGGGAGCAGGACATAGTGTGGGGGCAGAAGAAATGCTTGCCTGGCTTCACCCATCTTCCTACTTAAATGCCCTTAAATCCTACTGGCATACCTCTACCTTTCCTAATTACACTTCTTTATCTTTCCTTGAAGTTAATTTCCATGTAACCTTTGTCATTTTACTGTTCCTGCAGACTCTATCCGACGAGAGATTCCAGCAGCAGGAGGAAAAAATGCGGCAATTGCGGCAGGACTTGCGTCGCGTTCAGAACTTGTGCAGCTCAGCTGAGAGGGAGCTGAGATATGAAAGGGAGAAGAACATCGACTTACAAAAGCAAAACCTCTTGCTCCAGCAGAAATGCACCACGGTAGGACCAGAGCAGGGAGAACTGTTTGAAGACAGCATCACATAATTTTACAACCTATGTCTGAGGTGCTCATTTCAGCAGACTGGACCTCATTTACATTTGACTGCACAGTACCTGGGGCTCTCAGGCGTGCTCTGTTCTCAGCTTCATGGAAATTGTACTGCCTCCAAATAAAACTGTGTGTGTGCTGTACTTGCTCCCTGTATTTCTCTTTTATTCTTGTTCACTCTTTGGTAATCCTGTTGCCCCTTTCCTAATCAAGACATTTCAGATGATATATGTTGAAGTGCAAACTTGATTTCTTCTTCTTTTGAAACTCAGGTCAAAGCTGAGCTGAAGCAAGCTCAGGCAAAACTCTTGGACACAACCGAAACATGCTCCTCTCTCTCAGCACAGTGGGAAAAAAGCCAGCAGAAGGTCAAAGAACTCGAACAAGAGCTCTTGAAGTGCTCCCAGGCTGATAAACTGCAGAGCAGTCTGCAAGAGAAACTTGCACAGGAGAAATCCAAAGTATGTGAAGCACAAAAAAAGGTAACTCTACAGCATGAGCTAAGTTAACAGGAGGTCTGTTTTAGCAGTTTCGTGCAGCTGTAGTTCAGAAAAAAGCAGCACTAGCACCTTGTGAATTGGTTCCTTGAAGTCCATTTTGAGATTACTTGGCTAAATATTTTAGGAAAAATGTCTGTTATTAGTTGGAGCATAACTGAGACAATAGAAGCCAAATCTGATGGCTCAACTCTTGTCTCTAAAGCTCAGTATCTCCAAGAATGCTGGTGGTAGGGCTGGCAGGTGCAGGGAGCCCAGATCACGTTCTTGCCGAGGAGATTTGCTGCTGTTTGCTATCTGGTAAAATGCAAAAGCTCGTGTTTTCCTTGGCATCGGTTCTGCCATGTTCCTGCACTAATCGCTGGATTTGGTTTTGAAGTGTGCAAATTAGGTGCAAAAAGGATTGTTGCTAATTCATGACATAGTATCTGATCCAAAATCTGGTAGCTGTGGGAAAGGTTTTACTTTTAATGGACTTTGACACAAAGACATGCAGAAGTACTTTTGAGTAGAAGCAAGCAAATCTTTCATTCCCATGACTCAGATGCTGAGGGATCAAAGGGATCTGAACCCCTTGGATTCCAATACTGGCCTATAAATTCAGAAAGCTTAATCCATGTCCAATTTAATCCAAGATTTCAAAACTCCAGCAAAAGCTAAAAGATTTCCAACACCAACTCCTGCTGGCAGAGACCCGTGTTTCAAACAAAAAACTCCTGGAGGAGGAATTGAAGGAGGCCCGAGAAAATGAAGCTCATGTGCAGCAAGAACTTCACGAGGAGCAGCTGAAAAGGTACCCAGAGCTGGGTGAGATCTGTTCTGCATGCGGAGGGCAGGCATGTGCCAGCAAATGCTGCTGTGCCAGCCTGCCAGCTACCTCCTGCAGCTCCGTTCCTGGCCCTAGGTGGGCTCACAGTCACTGCACCACTGGTTTTGCTTCCTTTCTCTCCTTTTGACCTGCCAGTGTTGCTGGCAGAGCTCCACAGGATCCCCTCTGTAGGAGATTTAAAAGATTTTTGGAGACTTCAGCTGCCTCAGGAGGTGTGCAGCCCCTCCTGCCAGCCCAGTAATTCGGTTTACCCTCTACATGCCAGCAGTCCCCTTTCTTGTGCAGCTGGGATTGATGATCCCAGACACATCATGCACCCTTTCACATGCCACCGGGACATGGGGACAACCAGGATGTACCAATTTCTTTCTACCCCCAGTGTTGCCCAGGGCAGGTGCAGAGCAGCATAATGTTGTTTTTAGATCGCAGCCAGCCTTGAATTCACAGTGGCACATCATGGGCTGGTCTCCACCTCAGTGTCTCACTGTCACACCAACGTGCTTTTAGGAAGCTCCTGGAGCAGCAGGTGGAGGAGCTGCGGCAGCAGCTCCGGCATTCGCGGGAGACGGAGGCGTCGCTGGCCAAGATGCATGTGGAGCTGCAGGCCAAGACTCTGCACGTCCTAGAAGATGAGAGGAAAACTGACTCAAGCGAGGTGAGCTGCAGCACGGATGGATGGGTCCTCATCACCCAAGGGGATGCTGTGCTGGTGGCTGACTCCAAAGCAGACCACTGAGCTCTAGGGGAACATGGGACCATCCCAGTGTGAAATCTGTGCCTGGAAACTGCTGAAATAGGTGCTGAGCCCTTGCAGATCTCACTGATTTAAACAGGAGCTGGAGGAAAAGCACCATCTCATCTTGTGTAGGCTTCCTGGGGATGCAGCTCTGAGGGCGCAGGAGGAGGACTTGATGGCTTCTTCCCCTTCTCTTGCAGAGCATGGAGCTTTTTTGCAGGAAAATGTTGGCAGTCTCTGCTCTCTGGGAGGATGCATTACCTCTCTCTGCCATGTTGAAGCCTACGGCCCCCTGCTGCAGCACAGAAATCCACACTTCACCTTCTCTAAGGGGAGGAGGCCGTGGCCTTGGGGGGCAGAATGGATGGATATTATCTGTAGTGGGAACCAGTAGGATTTATGGCAGAGAAGCTTCGGAGACCAGACTGAAAGGGCCCCTACAGCTGAGGACACACACACAAATAAAAAATAGATGTTTTCCAGCACCTCCAGTGTCAGAAGGAGAACCAGAAGCTTGCAGAGCAACTTTCACTGCTGAAGGAGGAAGACAAAGCCCTTTACGAGGAAGGAGTCCGTCTCCTGAACCAGAAGGATCTGTACGTCAGGTAATGACTGAAGCAGCAGTGGATATGTAGACACAAAAAAACCTGCCCAGGGACTGCTGTTTATGTGCCTGGCAGTGACGCTGGATTTGACTGTTCTGTAGCCTTTCTTGTCTCTCCTGTTCAAGGCATTTAGCACGGAGAGATCTGCCTTAACCTGACATCCCTGGTTGCAATTATGTTATGCATCGCATGTCTGCTGTCGTGTTCTCTTTGGCAGCTGAAGGCAGCGCAGAAAACGAGGGGGTGCCTAGGGAAGGCTGTGGGTGCTGCTGTTCAGGGTCTGGTGTTGGCAGAGATGCTCCATGGAGCTGCTCATTTCTCCCCAGAGTACTTTTGATCTAATTTGAAGCAGAGTAGCCTTTTTGTCATGAGTTTTGAGCAAACGTGGGCAAATGTCCCTTATATGGTAGAGATTTCTCTTGTTTTGGAAATTGTTTTCCCTTCTTTCCTAACTGGATAAAAATAAACAAGAGCACTGCCTAGCTGGGAAGAGTTTGAGGGGAAGAGCAATGATCACAAGTCTCAGTAGACACCAATATTTAACCCCAGTGTCGCAGCTCTAAGAAGTGCCCGCTGAAGCAGCTCTTTCTGCAGCCTGTTTGCCTGACCCTTGCTGTTTAGGATTCTTCTTCATCTGTCTCTTTCCTCCATTCACAAGTACCTCCCCTTAGCCACCCACATCCCCACTGAAATAAACAGCTTGCTCCCATTTACCCTTTCCCCGTTACTTCCAGTTTTGGTGACTTTATAACCCTGGTTGGTATAAAGAGCCGAGAGGGGTGAGCACAAGGATTTGTAAAGCTGGGAATCAGTTTTGGGAATGCTTTGGGTCCCTTTCCCTCAATCTATTTCCATTTGGTTGACAACAATATAACCTTTGCAACAAAAAAAAACCCCAAACTGATCAGTGAAAAGATGTAGTCTGGCAAGTCAGCATTCTCATTCTGCCTTTACCTGTGCAGCCAAAAGGAGCTGGGTAGGTGGCTGAGGCTCCCAGTTCAGGCTTTGATGAGCCTGAATAAATACAGGACATCTTCTGCCTTGCTCTTGACCTGGAACACAAAAGCATTTCACAGCCTGATATTTGTGTCTCTGCCTCCTCAGGAAATATAATGAAGTGCAGCTCCGCCACAAAGACAAGATCCGCAGAGCCAAAGAGACCTTTATCCACGAGGTGAAACAAAGGGACAGCAGAATTAAGCAGCTTGAAAATGAGCTCAGTGAGTCAAAGCTCCAAGTGGAAAAGGTGAGAGAACACATCAAGGGCTTTTCCTGTGAGGGAAGGCAGGGGAGCAGGCTCCAGCGTGTCTGCAGGAGCACCCCTTCTTCCAAAAAGAAACGTAGTTTAGGAAAAAAGGCAATGAGGTTTAGGAACAGCCGGTTTGCAGGCAATGGGATTGCACTGTTAAACAACCAGACAGTGGGAGCATGGGGAGCTCTGCCTGATGTGCTGCTCCTGCTCCGTGCGCAGGATGGACGCTGCCCTGGGAAACAGCTGGCAGTGCCAAGGGGCTCCAGCCGGTCCTTGTGGGAACAAAAAGCCAAAAGGAAATTCCTGGCTCATATTTGCCCTCGGGGGGGAACCCATGTCCTCAAATCCCGTTCAGAAACTACCTAAGCTCCATCTTCTTTTGCCTCAAATATTTCTGCTGGGAAGTGACTCAAAAGCTGCTTTTTGGGGTATGTTACATCAAATAGCATATCAGTTCTAGGAGTGAATGTGCTTGGTCATGACCCCGTTGGTAAAGTGCTCTAAGGTTTACAGAGGACAGAGAAGAGCGAAGCGTAACTGCTGGTTATTTCCTTCTGCAACGCTGCTCAGGGGAAGGTGCTGATTGCACAGATCACTGCCGAGAATGAGAAATTACTTCAGGAAAGAAGACGGCTCCTCCAGAAGATAACTGATCAAGAGGAGACCCCTTGGAGCAACCGGTCTACGATTGCCACCCTGCAGAGCAGGTAGGCACTTAATGATGTCCGTGCCCCTGGGAGCCTGCCTCTTCCCAGTGCTTCTCCGGTTTTATGCCTGTTTCTCTTAAGAAATCCAGAGGAAAGCCTGAACTGTGCTCCAGTCACGAGCGCTGTGGCTTTTAATTGCTGTGGGATGCAGTTAGCCCCTTTCCCCATCAAAGCCCTTGGCATACAGCTGAAGGCTGTGGAGGTGAAAGGGTCTGAGGCTGAAAAAGAAAATGCCCCTTTGAAAACGTAGCGTGGCCGGAAGGAAAATAACTTGTGCCTTGTATGTATGACGTGCTCAGAGTGAAGATCCTGGACGAGGATAACGTGCGGCTGCACGAGAGCAAACTCCAGCTCTCCAGCCATGTGCCCGTCTTGCAGCGCGCACCGAGGAGCATCCCTGCTCCCGACACGGAGGTGAGACTTGGTGTCAGCGGGCAGGTCGCAGGAGCTGATGTCTCCTGCGATGAGGGTTGGTGTTTGTAGCTGCAGCTGAGGGTGCCGGAAAAGAGCCGAATTGATCCTTCGGTTGGGACAGAAAGGGGCACCAAACACACAGCAGATTGCAACGGCTTTGTCGGCGAGGAGGGACTTTGTGGGGAGCTGCAAGCTCAATACGCTTGCCATACTGCTCCAACCCCGAGCTGCTGTGCGATGGGATCCTTTTTCACAAGGACAGAAATTTCGCTTTGGCTGTTTTGCAGATTTAGAGCTGTTAAAAGACCTTAGTTTTAAAGTTGGCTCCAAAATTAGGAGAAATAACCCAGAACAGTGTGGTTGGGAATGTTGCTCCTGTAAGCCAGAAAGCCTCAGACCAAGCTGACCGATAATGTCGGCTACACTGAACTGAATGAAGATGCGCATTACCTAAACACTCAGTTTCAGATTGACCAAGTTAATGAAGAGCTTTTGGGGGGAGAAATGGAGAAAAATCCAGGGAAGTAAAAGATTGTGTTTCAACAGCTCGTCAAATAAAACAGGTGGATTTGGAAGTTTATTGGTACATTTTGAAATTTGGAGGGAACCCAATTTGGTTGGAAATGAGCTGTTAAGGATGAAAGTGCTGTTTGGGGCCTGGCAGAAAGAGCTGTTTGTGTGTTCCACTGTGTTTTAGTTCTTTCTCTTTGTTTCACCTGGGCTAGTTAGGCTTTTTTTTTTTTAGTTTAAATTCAGACCCTAATGACAAATCTATGATTAGTACCTCTGTGTGGCTGGAATTCTTGGGGAGCACTGTCAGTGGGGGCACTTTGAAGACCAAGACTGTATGTTGAAATTCAGGGTCTGACATGCACCTCCTCCTTTGAAAGTCTCTGTTTCTCCTTGCAGGACTCGAAGAGCGTTAACTTCTCTGAACGCCAACTACAGAGTAAGGTGTTGCCATCTCCCCGTACCAGGTACCGTGGGGTAAAAGGAGGAGGCAGGGAATGCCTCTCTGCATGTGGTGAGGGAGAAGTTGAGCGTTTTGGCTGCTCCACCCTGTGCTTTCACGTCCAAGGGTCTTTTTCTTTTTTGGCCAAATTATAGGGAAAATGGTATTAAAAAGACTCTATGAAACTAATGGGATGGAGAGGTAAAATTTTCAAAATATGTCTGGGAGCACTGTGGGATTTAGAAATCAGCTTGGTGCCCAGTGGTTTTGGAGGGGCATATTTACACAAGAGGTTATGAGGCTTAGAGGACCACTGCTGCCCAGAGCTGTATGACCCATGTCCCAGGCTACGGGGCAGGAGGGAGTTTGAGCTATTTCTCCACCTGTGTAGCCAGGAGCACCATGATCCATGCCAAAATGGGCAAGGGGGAGGCAGAGAGACTCTGCAACTCTGGTCTCTGCTTGCTGGAGACCCAGCACAGTGGGCTTCGGGTGCTGTGGAGGGTGACGGACGGTCTGTCGCAAGTTGGAGTAGGTTCTGGGGTAGATGGGGGCTGTCAGCTGCTTGACTGGAGGAAGAGTGTCGGAGCCTTAGTCCAAGTGAAAGGCATTGACCGTAGCACTGCACTGCCTTGCAGAGATGGTGGGAGGAGCATTGGGGCTGTGCAGGTGGCAGAGGGTCCGGTAGACTTTGCAGAATGGCTTAAAAGAGGAAATTTGTTTTCAGCTTCCCATCACGAGAACCGCCAGACTCTCTCAGCACCATGAAGGCCACGCAAGACATGAAGCCTGAAGGAGAAGCTGAAAGCCAAGACTCATCCTTTTGCTTATCCCCCTCTCAACCTTCTGAGATCGGGTACTTAAATGTAGCTTCGCCTGGAGACACCACAGCCTCCCAGCTGCCGGAGGAGAGTCAGAGCATCAGCTCTGAGAACTTCTAAATGGGGAAAGATGTTTGTAAAAGATTAGCTGGACTGCAAGGTTTGGGGCTCCTGTTGCTGTGGGATGACAAGGACTGCAGGGGGAGAATTGCCAAATGGACTGACCTGGTGATTTCTGTGATATATTTCAACTAAATTATTCAACAGCTTTTTTTCAGCTTCCCCAACTGTAAATGTGTGTGTGTGTGTGTCATCCCAGGTCCACCTGGAGGCTGGAATTTGCAGATAAACTCAGTAAAGCGGAAGAGGGGTGGGGTGAAGCATATCTTCCCCTGAACCCTAATTCCTTCTCCAGTCAAAAACTACAAGCTTTGTAAATAAAACTTGGAAAAGTTACCTTCTGCACTCTCTGATCCCGACCACTCCCTGCCACGTGCCCACTTTTCTCTGTTCACAGTCTGTACACCTGAAGGGAGGTGGAGGGGACGAGGGAAATGGAATAGGAGCATGTGTGGAGAAGAAAGGAGGGGACCTGAACATCCAGAGAAGGAAAGAGGGTGGATCTTGAATGCTTACTAACAGTAACAGAGGGTCTGTGAGGATGCTTGGGTGAGAGTAGAAGGAATTGGATCATGCAGAACAGGGGTGTAGGGGGGATCTGTGTATGCAAGGAGGGAAGCAGAAAGGATCAGAGTGCGAGCTGCGGGGAAGAGAAGGGATCTGAACGCACCTGAGTGGAAGAGATCTGTGCATACTCAGGAGGACATAGGATGAACAGGAATCACAGTTTGCATGAAGGGGAACCAGGGAAATCTGAGTGCTCGGAGGAGGAAGGGGAGACGTCCTCAAAAATAATGAGTCAGCCTGGAGGGCATCTGAGTGTGCCTGGAGGGGGACAGAGGGCCACACTGGGGATAAGAGGGGTCCCCAGTGGGAAGAGAGAGGGAGGGAACAGAGGATCTTTGAGGAGAATGAAGAGGATCTGAGCACACATCAGTTGAGGTTTATTCAAAGCCTACTTGGCTCCAACTGCAATTCCAAAACACCTTTTTTTTTTTTTTTTTCCCCGCTCTGCCATGCTCTTTTGTGCTGAAATCCAGTGTTAAAGATATTTGCTTGGAATTTGTATTCTTGCTCTCCACTCAGGCTACTTTTCATACCCATCTCAAAATAATTTTGAGCAAATTTTTCCCAAAGCATGTGGTCCTCTGCACCAAGACGTTCTCTGCTTGCGCTCCTTGGGGGCAAGGACTCCTGAAACTGTGGGTTTTTTTTCATGCTCTTTTGTGCTGAAATCCAGTGTTAAAGATATTTGCTTGGAATTTGTATTCTTGCTCTCCACTCAGGCTACTTTTCATACCCATCTCAAAATAATTTTGAGCAAATTTTTCCCAAAGCATGTGGTCCTCTGCACCAAGACGTTCTCTGCTTGCGCTCCTTGGGGGCAAGGACTCCTGAAACTGTGGGTTTTTTTTATTTTCAACTTGATTTTTTTCACCCTGCAAGTCTCCTAATCTTGTTTCTCTGGCAAGTGAGGCACCGTGCTTTGTGTCTGCTCAGGTGAGGCTCAACGGTGTTTGTCTGCGACTCTTTGGGCCTCCCTGTGGAGAGGGCAGTGGGTGGATGGGGACGGCTCCCCAAAATGCCCAGTGCAGCCCCCTTCCTCTTGTAGGGTAAAGCCTGGCAGGGTGGCTGGGGGCGGTCCCTGCAGCCCCTCTATGACACGGGCTGTGGTCACAGTAGGACACCCTGCCTCACCATGACACCTTCTCTCTCCCCACGGCACCCCAACCCGCACTTCCCTGCGAGTCAGGGACGAGCCCAGACGTGGGGGGCTGCTCTCGCCACCGCTCTGCTCTTGGGAGCTGCTTTGCAGCTGGGGGAGAAGGCGGAGGCTGGTGGTGCCGTAGCGCTGGGGCTGTTTGGTGAGGTGGAGAGGAGTGAAGGAGGTTGGCCAGGAGGAGCTGCAACCATGGAGTGGTTCTCCTCTGCCTTCCTCCATGTGCTGTCTCCACACCTGGCGGATTTCACAAAGAAGGGTAAGTGCTGCCAGGAGGTCCTATGCTCAACACAGATCGCTGTGAACTCGGAGGCACCTTCCCATCAAGGCTGGGAGGATGTCCTCATGTCTTTCTTTCAAGGACAGAACTCTGACCCCAGCACGGGAGGTCTTCTCATGGGGACACAGCTAACACTCAGCTCTGCAGGCCAGTTCCTGCATGGGTGATTTCAGGGAGGAGGCAGTGGTGTCGGATGATGCCTGCATCTGCTGGCTTGGCAAGGTGGTCAGCTTATTGCTTCAAGTATGACCTGTCTTCCTCTTCTTCCGCAGAGATCGCAAAGATTTGGGATAGTGTGTCGGAGTGCTATCGCCATGAGCTGCTGATGAAGAAGGTGGGGCTGCTTTCCTCGTCCTTCCTCACTCGGGCCCTGATGTGTGCCCACCCCTCTCCCTGCCCTTTATTCCTCCCACAGCTTAGAAAGCAGAAAAATGGCCCCAGAAGGATACTGCCATGGACAGCTTTGCCAGAGAGCAACTTTTGCGTGAAGGGAGAGCAAAAGCAAAGCCCTGCTCGAGACAAAGAACATTCTTCGGGGCTTTCTTCTTTGGAGTCTTCCCTAGCCCTGCGGGCAGGCTGTAATGACCAGGCAGAGAGCGTGGGGCAGTGTTCAGGGCTGTTCTCCCATCGGAAGAATTCCCACTGCTGTCTCTTTCTCACTCTTGTTTGCAGACTGTCAGGCTAATGGGCTTGGGCACTGTCTACATCAGGCAAGAGGACTTCCATAATGGGAACAAGGCGAGTTTCAAGGTCCAGAGACCAACGTTCTGCCTGGACAAGCCAGTTCTGGTGTGGAACAAGCTCCGCTACGGGACCAGATCATGGCCTGGTAAGAAGAGACCTTCAGACCTCTGCTTCCCCCTTGAGTCACAGCTGGGGTTTCCCTCCATCTCCTCCTTGATGGGGGCAGCCGTTTGCGTGGGGACAGGGTGCTGGCCCCCAAAGGCAGGCCGCTTGCTGCTGGATGGGTGCTCAGTGGGGCGGCAGGAGGGCGGCTGGGCTCTTGATGGGGCCTTGTGCTGAACGGTGATGTGAGCCTGCTGAAGGCTGACCAAGTGACTTTGTTACCGGGTGGCTTCTTCGCAGAGGAATTAAAGGTTGCAGAGCTGATCTACGCCGAGGCTGCCTTCCGCCTGCGCGTCCCCGAGAAAACGGTCTTGAAGTGCGTTGAGGCAACCGTGAAAGTCATTGCGTGGGCCTTGACCGAAGGCAAGGACTTTGACTTTGTCTTCAAGAACTTTGGCATCCTGGTGTGCCGAGGAAAGAGAGTGGTCCTGAGGTTCTTTGAAGACCTGCTCCGAGATGTGGACGAGACCGGGATCCTGGCAAACACTTTCCTCCAAGTGAGTTTGTCACATTTTCAGTGCTCCCTCTAACTCCTTTGCAGCCGGGTCAAAGCCATGACCTTGGGCACGTTCAATCCCCTGTCTGTCTCTTTCCTGCAGAAATCAAGCCTGAGGCCCCTGGTCGTAGCCCGCATGGAATCGGCAGTTTTCCAGATGCCTCTTGGGGGGATCATGGTGTTCCCACAGTGAGTATGGTTGCTTCTGTTGCCCTGGACTGACCAAGTGAGCAGCTTCTCAGGATCCCTCTTTGGTCCAGCCGCCCAGAGTTGCCAAGGACCATGTTAGTGGGGCCGGTCTCCTCCTGAAGCTGGTGTGGAGTACCTGTGCCCAAGGAGTGCTTCTCCGTGAAGTCCATGGTCGCTCCTTCTCCTTTGGGAAGTGGGGTGTCATCAGTTGGAGTCCCAGGGAAGAGGGCCTGCTTCACCTTCCCACCTGCGTGGGATGTGGAGAGGCAGTGAGGGAGCAGTTTCCATGAAGCTTCATCTGGTCCTTCCCTTGCCTTTGGGTGAGGAGGCTGAAACAGAAAAAAACCCAAGCAAGCCAAGCCCAAGAAGACATCATCGTTTTCAAAGGGAGTTTGGTGACGCTCCTTTCCTAATATCTATTGCCACCTTGTTGCATGTCCTGCTTTGCCAAACTGGAGACTTGACAGTAGCTGAGCTCTCGAGCAGCTCTGGGAGCAGCTTCTCGGTGGGGGCTGCAGGGGAAGGACTATGTTGCCCCTTAGTGAATCCACTGGCACCTTCTTATTTGCAGGTTTGTGTACAAAACCAAGGTGTCCGAAAACAAACTGGCTGAAAAGGCTGCCCAGCGAGGTACCGTAACAACGCACCCATGTCATGTAGAGATGCAAGAGTTGGGTTCCCCACATATGACTCCACCTTCCCAATGGGAGAGGTTCTCCAAAGTGACCAGCACGTCCCAGCTCACCCCCTTTTCCAAAGGGGCACCCAAGCAAGGAAGCAACGGGGCAGGAACTGCTCAGGGAGCAGTGTGGCCCTGTAGAAAGGGAGGGCTGGGAAAGCGTGGGAGTTGGGAAGGGCCGAGACTGTCCTAGGAAGCCGCACTCCAAGGGCTGAGGAGTCCAGGGCAGGCACGAGCAGTGCACGCATGCACAGGTGGCATGTCTGTCTCGTGGGAAGGGTCCCAGAGGTGCAGCTGTGAAGAGCTTCCGGGGTTTGTGCTTGCAGGGGCTGGTCCTGGCGAGCGCCTGCTCTCCCGAGGGCGTCTTTCTCCCATCCGGACAAGTGGCCTTGGTCTCACGGGAGAAAAGAGGAGAAAGGCGGGGATTGCAGCGGGTACCGTAAGGTGAGACTCTTCAGCCACACCTGAGCAGTACAGCTCACGGCTGTCTCGTCCCGGTTTTGACTTGCGGGTATTTCCCAGCCTAGATATAGCTCTCGTGCAGAACTGCCTTGTGCTGCCTGCACGGGGCTGGGTCTGTGAGCACCAGCTGAAGAACAGGCTGCTGCTGTTCTCCTGCAAGCTCCTTGTGCTGTGTGTTTGCAGCGTGCTGCCGCCGGTTGAGGGGAGCCGTGCAGAGAAACGCAAGGAAGTCAAAGCGACGGAGCATCCAGAAGTCCGGCTCCCTGCTCTGGGCAGCCAGATGGCAGCAGCAGTGGTACGTGGTAGAGGTGGATGTAAGATGGTGTCACGTGCAGGAAAATGTGGCTCTGTGGAGAGGGTGTCCTCAAA